GAGTTCCAATTGAATCATCAGGCACTCTTTCTTTCCCAACTCTATCTCGTCCTTTATCATTAAAATCTGTTTTTGTTACTCCTTCTCTAATCAAAAACTTAATCTCTGTCAGACGCTTTACTAGAGATAATTCTTGTTCTGTGGAATTTGATCCTTGTGGTTTTTCTGTGAAGGATCTCAAAACCAGGAGAATGATACTCCGCAGTAACAGCACAGGCGATCTCTATCCTCTGCTTCCTTCTTTCAATAATGCTATATCGCAGCCTGTTGCTTTATTTACTTCTTCTTCTAATGTTTCTCCTAATGTTTGGCATCGCCGTTTGGCGCATCCTAATGTTCAAACATTGAGTTTATTGCATTCAAATTCTGCTATTTCTTTTAATAAAAACTCTCTTTCTGATATGTGCACAGCTTGTCAACTTGGTAAACACACAAAGCTTCCATTTTACAGCTCTAATACGACAGTCACTCAACCTTTCGACGTCGTGCATTCAGACTTATGGACCTCGCCAATCCAAAGCTTAAGTGGGATCAAATACTATGTTCTTTTTATTGATCAATTCTCTCACTTTCTTTGGATTTATCCCTTGCGTTACAAGCATGAAACTTTCACTAAATTTCTGCACTTTACAAATTTTGTGAAAACACAATTTGGCAGAAACATTAAATCACTCCAGTGTGATAACGGTGGCGAGTTTGACAACTCCGACTTTCATGAATTTTTCGCACAAAACGGGATCTCTTTCCGCTTCTCCTGCCCGCACACATCGCAGCAGAACGGAAGATCAGAACGGATGATCCGTACCATCAACAACGCGGTACGATGCCTTCTGTTCCAAGCAAATCTACCTTCCTCTTTTTGGGTAGAGGCGCTTCACACGGCAGTCCATATCCTCAACATCCTTCCATCCAAAGCCATTCAAAATCGCATCCCTTACTCGGTATTGTTCAACAAATCACCTTCTTATTCTCACCTCAAAGTCTTTGGTTGTTTATGTTTTCCTAATATTAATCATTCTCAAACACCAAAACTCTCACCAAGATCTTCTAAGTGCATTTTTCTTGGATACCCTTCTAATCACAGAGGCTATAGGTGTTTTGATTTGAGCTCTAAAAAGATCATCATCTCACGACATGTGACGTTTGATGAGAACTCTTTCCCATACGAGAGCCCTACTCCTAAAAAGAGCTCAACGTATGACTTTCTTGACGATGACACCGAGCCCTCCTCTCTCTTCCGCCAAATACTCCAGTCGCAACCTTCCCCTTCTCCTCCTACGGTTGCTGACACAGCTCACTCTGAGCCGCCAACTCTCAATACCCAAGTGGTACGAGAGGCACCTCGGCATGCCATGACTACTCGCTCAAAACATGGCATTTCAAAACCGAAACAGTTGCTCTCTCTTCATACTCAAACTCAATCACCACTTCCAAAAAGCCACATTCAGGCCCTGAAAGATCCTAATTGGAACCCGGCTATGAATGTGGAGTACGGTGCTATTATTAAAAGCAGAACTTTTGATTTAGTGCCTCGGCCTCCTAACACTAATATTGTGCGCTGCATGTGGTTGTATAAACACAAGTTTGATGCAGATGGTTTCTTTGACAAGCACAAATGTCGTCTGGTTGCAAACGGCAAATCTCAGGAACATGGCATCGACTTTGATGAGACATACAGTCCGGTGGTGAAACCTTCGACGATACGCACTGTATTACATGTTGCTCTTGTTAATAATTGGCAGGTTAACCAGCTGGACGTGCAGAACGCCTTCCTTCATGGAACTCTAGATGAGACGGTTTACATGTTCCAGCCACCTGGTTTCGTCAACAAGGAGAAGCCGAACCATGTCTGCAAGTTGAACCGCTCAATCTACGGTTTAAAACAAGCACCGAGAGCCTGGAATGCAAGGTTCGTCAATTTCATCACGGCAAAAGGTTTCACGCAAAGCAGATCAGATGCAAGCCTCTTTATTTACAACAAGAAGGGTTTACAAGCTTATCTCATACTCTACGTGGACGACATTATAGTGATGGCTTCTAGCACAACTCTACGAGATACAATAATCACTTTGCTTAAATCTGAATTTCCCATGACAGATTGTGGCCAGATAAAGTCGTTTCTTGGGATCTCCGTGAAGTTCAACGAGAAGGGCATGTTCCTCAACCAATCTCGTTATGCTGAAGACATCATACAACGCGCAGGGATGTCTGACTGCAAACCGTGCACCACACCTGTTGATCTTAAAGCGAAGCTAGCTGAAGCATCGGAAAACCAGTCAAAAATCCTTCGGAATATAGAAGCCTTGCAGGCGCTTTGCAATACCTCACTTTCACTCGCTCAGACATCTCCTACGCCGTCCAGCAAGTATGTTTGTTCATGCATGATCCAAGAGAGAGCCATCTTCTATCCTGGAAGAGAGTGATCAGATACATTCAAGGAACGAAAGCCATGGGACTGCAACTCTTGAAACAACAAAGCATGAAACTAACGGCATACACGGACGCGGACTGGGCTGGCTGCCCCTCCACACGACGATCGACTTCCGGATACTGCCTTTACCTTGGTGACAATCTCATTTCCTGGTCAGCCAAGAGACAACAGACAGTGTCCCGTTCAAGCGCAGAGGCCGAATACAAAGGTGTAGCAAACGCAGTCTCCGAAGCTTGCTGGCTACGCAACTTGCTATTCGAAATGGGACGCCCCTTGACTCAGGCAACAATGGTGTATTGTGACAATGTCAGTGCTGTCTATCTCTCATCTAATCATGTTCAACATCAAAGAACAAAACACATTGAGATAGACATCCACTTTGTCAGAGAAAAGGTTCTACTCGGCGAAGTTCGTGTTCATCATATACCTTCCAGACTACAGTATGCAGATATCTTTACTAAAGGATTACCATCATCGCTCTTCACCGATTTTCGATCCAGTCTTGGTGTGACAGAGCCCACGCTGCAACTGCGGGAGGGTATTAGAGGATAACTATCGATTAGTATAGTTTAGATATTATCCTAAGTATATTCTACGTATATACCGCAACTGATTGTAACTGATTGTACTATATATTGAGCTATCAATAAACGTAATCATTCAAGGGAAACATACATTCTCACAGAAACTGGATCCCCTTGATTACCTCTGCTGCTGCCAACTTCACTTGTGGTGACCTCGCCACTGCTTTGAGAAATGTAACCTCTTTTCTTATTATTTTCCTTCATTGACGACTATATTGTGATTTTGAGCTTGGAGGATTAAGGTTACTAGATGCTTTGCGTTAGATGGTGCGAAGGTGATGGATATTCTTTTTTTTTTTTTGGGACACTACTTAGTTAAACTTGTTGTGGTTTGAAACTTTCTTGTGTAGCAGTATAATAGTTAATGCTTTTTGGAATGCTTAACCCCCTTTGGTTATTGGGTTTTTGCATCCTCGTCTTTTATGGTGGTTGTTGATTCACGTAGTTCTGAGATTCAGACCATGAGTTTTAAGTTATTTTCATAAAGCTCTCCAGTTATAAAGTCATTACCTGGAAAATATGTTTGGAAGAAGCCTATGTTTCCAAAAAAAAAAATTCATTATGAAGGGGCATTATTAATGTGCTCTTTTGATCTGATGGAATTGGCTTTCTTTAGAAACTTTGTCGCAGTTTTGTAAACTCAATGTGTTTTCCTGTTCTGTTTTTAGACACATAAATGTCACTCGTCACGGTTGATTCAAACGAGTTTTGAATCGTGATATGTCCTTATGGTAGAAAAAGAAAAAGATGATACGCTAATCAAAACTAGAAGTCGCCTTATATCAATTAAAGCTTCGAATGGTAAAAGCAGATCAAGCGTAGCAGATCAAACGGTTCATGCAGATCAAACAGGATAAATGCAGATCAAGCGGGACAAGTGCGGATCATGCAGGAGAGATGCAGATCAAACAATTTATTATATATTATGAATGACAAAATCAGTTCATAACTATAAATCATATATTTAAACAATAAAACTATACTAAAATATCAAAATATTTTATCTTATATGTTGTAAGATCAGCCGAAATGTTAATTGAAGTTTTCATAAGATGCTTGTACTTTTTTTTATTTCTGTTTTAGTTGAACAAAATTATCTTTGAAGAACTAGAATGTTACTAATATTAAACTATTTGTTGATATTTATATAGAAAGATTTGTATCTTTTTTGTTGAAAAATATTGTACAGCTTAGTAAAATACTCGTTTTATGTAGGAAAATTATATTTTTTCTTTGGAAAATGTTGTGTTTTGTAGGTAATTGAATGTCATATTTATAATTTTAAAATGACACAAATAATATTGGTGTACTATATAGTTTGAGTTAATCTTTGTACATTAATTCTAAAATCAGATAAATATATTTAAACCTAGTGTTTATAGGAAAATTATTTATTAGTGAAAAAGGCAGATCAACACCTACAAATGTTAGCGGGTGAGATCTGAATGCAGATCTCCTGCTTTTTTCACAAAAAGACATAAAATATTGAACTGCATGCAGATCTTCCGTTTGAACTGCTTTTAGAAACAGAAAATGATGAATGGCAAAAACACTCTAGGAGAACTGCATGAGCGGGAGATCTGCACTTGTTTTGCCTTTCCATTCATAACCTAATTGTAATTGCTTTGAAAAGAATGTACACGTGGGGAAGCATGCCTCAATAGACTTTTATCTACTCTACACCTTATATCTCTCTGTTTTAGGAAGCGTCCATCTCTAAAGATGGTGAACCATTATCGTTCAAAACATCATGGACCAACGATTGAGCCATTCAGGTCAACTCTAGGATGATCCTTCACAAATAGATGACAACACTAACAATGCATGAAAGAATGTATGTCGTAGCCAACAAAAACAAAGAAAGATCATCACCAATATAGAAACTGGACTGATTCACATTTCTGAAGTTAGCATATGATTTTTGAGTTAGAACACATGCTAAAACATGTTTTCTCGTTTGCTGAACACAAGAATAATAATAATAATCAAAAGCACTTTTTCCAGCTTAGGCTTGGGGTCAATAATGCATCAACGTCTTCATCAGGCTGAGCCGAGCTAGTTGGGATGAGAGGGATCCCACCAAGCTTGAGAGTATCCAAGAACCAGACAGATGATGCATCCTTAATGAGAAGCCCTAATGCTTCTTCTCCATTAGGCAGTGCTACCAGAATATTGTGCCCTTTCTTCTTCAATAGATTAAGAGTAATAGATAAGTTAGAGTTTCCGGAGATTAGCAGATAGTTTGTAGGAGAAGGAAACTCTTGTGCCCGGGATAACATTGCCGCAGTTATAAAGCTAAAGTCTGCATACTTATCTCCGTTTCCAATTACGTGTAGGTACGCGATTGCGCTGCGACAAATGGAGATACTGATTTTCTCAGGGGTACGATAACAATCCCCAAAATCAAAGAACGCATCATACCATCTTATTGAGAGTCAATCTTACATTGTCTACGAGCCCACAAGCATAATGATCATCACAACCTTCTTCAGGGATTCCACAACTCCCAATATCCCAATAGACTGCAATGGGTGCCTTCACGAATTGCTTCTCACCCATCTTCAATCCAACCAAATCTTCTCGACTTTGCCTCGATTCTTCTTCTTCTTCGTCTGATGACACATGATCGCCACTGTCTCTGTCACTCTCAACGTCGTCATCATCATCATCGTAGTCAACTTCATCCGCATCCTCAACCCGCTCGTCAGCCGATGCCGTCGACCTCATAACCTCAGAACCGCCCTCGGCCGGGACCAAAGCTTCTTCCTTCTTTCTATCCATCGAGATTATTAAGAAAACTTAGCTTCGTCGATCAAACAACAGCGAGAGAGAGAGAGAGAGAGAGAGAGAGAGAGAGAGAGAGAGAGAGAGAGAGAGAGAGAG